ATAACTTAGTTAAAATTGTGGTAGGTATGACAGAAACAGACAGGTTGTAGGAATCAATACAGAGACATTCTTAGTAACATAACTGATGTATCAAAGGTCTGTGATGCTTGTATTAGACAATCATAAATTTAATTATAAGTCTAAAAGAAAAGATAACCAAATTGTACTTTTTTCTGACTTTTTTCCTTTTTAAAACATGTCTGCCTTGTGTATGATGATAGAGGGTTATTTGAATCCATATACTTTCTCTTCAACAACTGCTAGAATATTGCCAAATGAAATAAAAGTGTTCTTAGCAGATCTGATCAGTGGTAAACCAAATCTATTTCCATAGTGGTAGAAAAGTGGGAGGTGATACAGTTTTCCTAAGTCAGATTGCAAACAGGATTGCGGGTGCCTCCTATGACTCTAAATGTTGCAGTATGCTTTCTGGATTTTGCAGTGTTTGATGCTTACATGGGGTTTTCATGCTTGCAAGCCTGAGTGTTTTGATTGAGATAATGTTTCTGCAGTGTATGGGTGCCTTTGGAATGATGTTGGAATGTCCTTGGCATAATGCCTGAGCAAGGGAATTTACTAATGACTTCCAAGCATATAGTCATGCTCTTCTGAGCAAAGATTTCCAACCATAGGAATGACTCTTACATATCTCCAACGGAAAAAGAAAACATGTTTTAATATTACATATGTCATCTTGACATTAGGGAATTCATGTAACTTCAAACATGCCACAGTGGTACATTGGTCTGTCTTTTACCTTTCAGTATTATTTCTATCAAATTATTCTCAAAAATGTCTGGAACTATATGTTTAAATATTCAGAATCCTAAATGGGGTAAACATGGGTTAAATCTCTCCTTCTCTCAGGAATAGTGTAGAGCAGCATGACTGAGAATGTGGACTTCTAAGTTGACAGGAGTTGGCTTTTAGCCTATTTACCTATTATTAGTTACATAAATTTGGTCATGCTACATACTTCTCTGAGACTCACCTTCTGTAAAATGGGAGTCATAATCCCCATTTCAGGGCATATTGAGAAAATTCAATTGGGTAATGCATACAGAGCATTTAGCACATACTTGGGCACTTAGTAAGAATACAATAAATTTTGGATAGAAACAGCTTTTTCAGATCTAAGAAGAAACCACTTCTTTAATCTCATTTTATTTCTTCTTCCTATAATATTCACAGTGATAAGCTCTTGCCTAGGAAAAAATTTTCCCCAGAGAGTAGATTCATGAGTCAATAGCTGGCGCAGGCACAGTTTATTTTGGAATGTGATCCTAGGGAACAAGAGTGGAGGACTGACAGGAGTGAAGTGGGGAAGAGAGAAGTAGAAGGGCATGAGGTGTAGAAACCTGGGCCCATGAAGCCTTCCAAGAATCATGGAAAATATTTGAGGGAAGCATTGGTCATCTGCTACTGTCTTCCATTATTTGGGCTTCAGTGGGGTATTAACACGCTCATATAGGTTTGTACTGTGTAAGTGATTTGTCTGTTGGTTCTAGCAGGTAGCCAATATTAGCATTAGAGAATCCCAAGAACAGAAAGTGAAAGACACAGAGCACAGCTGAGAGGTGCGATGACACTTATGCACTGCTAGTTGCTGCAGGAGGTGATGGTGGGCAGAGAATGTGAGGAGAAAAAAAAGAAGTATTTCACACGTGATTCTTTGCAGAATTCATGTGCTGTCAATGACCCTAGAGACTTGAGAGCAATTCAGTCCCAGGTACTTCTGTTACAAAGCCAACCATCTGAAGCACAATGGCTTAAATCAGCGGTCCCCAACCTTTTTGGCACCAGGGACCAGTTTCACAGGAGACAATTTTTCCAGGGAGGGGGTGGGGGGGATGGTTTCAGAATGATTCAAGTGCATTACATTGATTGTGCAGTTAAACTTCTATGCTAGTGATAATCTGTATTTGCACCTGCTCCCCAGCACTAGCATCACCGCCTCAGCTCCACCTCAGATCATCAGGCATTAGCTTCTCCTTAGGAGCATGGAACCTAGCACACTTTATGTGCAGTTTGCAGCAGGGTTCGTGCTCCTATGAGAATCTAATGCTGCTGCAGATCTGCCAGGAGGTGGAGCTTATGTGGTGACGTGAACGATGGGGAGTGGCTGTAAATACCCATGAAGCTTCTGCTTGCCACTGCTCACCTCCTGCTGTGAGGCCTGGAAAGGGGATTTGGGGGCTGCAGGCTTAAATAATTCTCTATATAGTAAAGCCCAATGTTTAAGTGACCTCATTCTAGTAGATCTATAACTGGCACCTGCCAGCCCCCTTAATAGTGATTTCTATGCTAAAAACTAAGTCTTTAAAAAATACATTTTCAGGGTGAGCTGAGATTCATGTTTTAAAGTGTTCCATTTTCTCACCTCTACCAGGAAACTCAAATAGATCCACGTAGCCTTCTTACTCTCTAACTGATGAGTTGGAGACCTTCTTAATGGAGGCAATGAAAATGAAAAAACACTTTTCTCTTTCAAAATACTTTAAAAAAATTATGTGTTTATCTCTGTGGACAATTTAATATTGCTGACCTGTTTTATTATAGAATTTTAATGTATTATTTTAATTTTTTTCCTTAATATTAAGGGAAAAATTACACTTGGAAAGCTTTCTGTTGGAGTCTTAGGAAACTCTAGAAATGCATAATTATGTGTGAAATGGTGGGATTACGACCAGGGGAAAATGTATAAAGGGAAAAATCCAGTTACATGATTCTTTTAATAATTGGTAACTATGTGTTGGTGAGCATTTCCTTTATGAAAAATGGCCCAGTCATTAAAACAACCACAGAGGTGAAAATTGTCCCCCTTCCAGCTAAACAATATGCTTTCATTTGAGGTCTATTTAGCCTTTAAGGTGAAAGTGGGTTCCAGACAAATGTCTTTCACATTAGAAATTGTATTAAATTAATTGAAAAATAGATAAACATTGATAATAATAATAAAACAGGAGAAAGGAAGAACAGTAAAAGGTAAATACTTTTTAAATGTTACTCAAATAGACATTCAATAAAACCACATCTTTCAGACAACATAATCATTTGCATCATAAAAACTCTAGTGGTTCAAATTTAAAATATTGATTAAAAAGCTTCAGTTGGACTTCAAATCAGCCTAAAAAGAAAATTTCCATCTTAATAAAATAGGCAAAACTTTCCTTTTAAAATTACAACTTATTTTGTTAAAAAATGTGTTTACTATTCTTGAAAAAGACCTAAAATGGGTCCTTCAGAAGAGAAATCCTTTCCCATTTTAAATTGAATCCAATGGAGCAGTGAAGACACAATTCCAAAGCATCCAGAAGAAAAGTGGAATCACAATCAATAATTTACATGTTTCCAAATACCCAGAATTCTGGGTTGATCCTTCAACAAAACAGAAGAGTGACGAAGTGATTCCTTGACATTTTAAAATTTCCTCCTGGTGTCCTGATGTCATGATAATCCAGTTTGTCCTAAGGACTTCTTTTAAAGCCACAAAAACAGTATACTGCCTAGATTTATCTGAACTTCAAAGCTTGGATACAGACTTTTAGATATCTTCTGGAAGATTCCTTAAGCGAAGTGAGAAGATACCCTTTGACTTTAGTCACCAAAGTTAATGTTCTCATGACTTAAATTGACTTCATACAGCCAAGTTTATTTTGTACTCTCAGTTACTTACTACTGCAAGTCAACACAGCCCAGGAATTGATGCATTTTGTGCCTTCGATTCAAATTAAATAGCAAACACTGCTGTTTGTGAACTTTTTGGCCAATGAATAAAAAATATTTCATTTCTAATTCTCACCAGAAGGATTTAAATTAAACAGTAACAGATGAATTGGGCAGGCATGGAATACTAAATAGAAACTGGCAAATGAAATAATCCAGCTCTTTGCTTTTACAATGAAAATGAGAATTGATTCTGCACTGAGAGATAGAGGTAAAAGGACCAAGTGTTTTTAAAAAAGCCTTCTCCACCAAAAGAGCAAAATAGCACTCAGTGGCATTGCATTGTTAACAAAATTTCTTTATCAGAAACTATAATTTAATATTTAAGTATCTAATTTACATGTGACAAGGTATCATATTCAAAAAATTAAATTGCAACTAGAAAACTATTAACCACTAAAAACAATACCAAACACAACCCAAACATTTATAGGAAAGCAATAGCTAGAATTTGAATTGGAAAAAATGTTTCATCATATTTGGCTCATTAAACAAAGCGTCCATTATAATCTGGAAAAAGAGTATCTCTTCTAATTCATCAAAAGTTTACCCTTTGTAGCATGAATAACATGTAAAGATAGTTTCATTGGCTGTATATGCACACGTGTGTGTGTGTGTGTATATATAGTGAGACATACACTCGTGTGTTCACTTAAAGATATTGTATCTACTGATAACCGGCTGAACTTTGGAAGGTGCTGAAATCCATATTTCTATATGTCCTTTGACCCACTTAATGATGCCTTTTTAGAAACAGAAATTACATAAAATACTCTGTCTTTTATTAACTGAATATTTTCTTAAGCATAATAATAGACAATGAAAGAATTGCACTTATTGTAAAGGTACAGTAAAGTGTTAGATTGCAGTTCAGCCATAAAAGATAGGGGACTGTAGGACTGATAATAAGTTGTGCATTATATGCAAAGGTGATGGTGACCAGTGAAATTAAAATGAGAGCAACTAGTTACAGAACAAACAGGGAGAGAACATAAGAAAACATGCACTACTCCTACTATAATGCAAAACTAATTTCTCCCAGGAAACCAACCCTATGACCTTCCTTATACAAAGAAACAGGTTCTGCACCCTTGGCAACACAGTAGACTTGGGCTTCTGTATTCGAATGCCAGTTCAGTGTCTCTGAGTGTGCTGTTCCAGTGTCATCTCCATAAGCTGCCTTTGAAATTCTGGAGCATCTACAATATTACAGTCTCTTGCTTAGGTTTCATCGAGCCTCAATATTTCCATCAGTTCTGTATAAATAGGGTCCATTATTCATCTTCTTCTGGTTCCTGTGGTAACACATATATTTCTTCCTTTAAACAATCACTGAAGAATCTGAGGATTGTGCTGTAGAGATGATACTTGCTCTTCTCAGATACGTTATGACCTTCATCTGGGTAGACCTAAGGTATTGAGGGGAAAGAAGGTATCAAGTTACCAAAGCAGCTACTGTCCTCAGCATTCATTCTTTTAGCCCTAATGGCATGGGAACTTCGAAAAATATTATCTAATCGAAATCTCATCTAATTCAACTCAGAGTTCTTTATGCTAAACTTTTTAAAAATTATAATTATGTCAATCAATATTTGAGAAAAAATATATTCTGTGTGTTTAAATTAGGATTTGTTGGCCAAATAAAGTAGATGTTCCCATGCTTATGTTCACTATGATGGCCTTAACATTGCCCTCAATTTGACTAAACTTTAGACAGTTTCTTCCTGACTATTGTCCCCTGACCTCTTCCTGCCTCTTACCAGTTTTACAAACCACAATATGTATTTCTCAAGGACATGGGGACGATCTGTTGGAAATGCAAGCACTGAAGGAGGAAGTACTCCCATCTCCCAGTCTCTTCAGGAGAATAAGAGTGTTGGTCCAAGTTCTAAAATTATCTCCAGTCATGAAGATACAAGAAAATTTACTTTTCCTTTGGGTATCGCCGATTGTTAAATACAGCTGGCCTACAATTCCCCCAACTCCAGATCTTAAAAAACTTTCAAGCTCTTCGTTTCCACAGTTGAGTTCAAAGTCTCTCTGCCCTATTTCAGTAGTCTTGAATAAAGTCTCCCTTACCTGTTTAACATTGCCTGGTGCCATTTTTATAATGTCCTTTCCAATAAAGACAACATTATTGATTTTTCTAAAATACAAATATTATCTCATCCATTTCTAGGTGGAAAGTTTTTAAATGGTGCCTCATTGTCCTCTGAGTAAAGTCCCATTCTCCTCAACATTGCTTATGGCATGAGCTGCCATTTATTTATCTCTATCATCATCTTTCGTCGTCCTAACCCTGGTACTCTGTCAAAGTACTTTGGTTATTCCAAATGCTGAGAGATTAAAATTACTTTCTTTGTCCTTCTAGAACTCCTCCATCACACTGAAGGTTCCTTGATAGTTTAAAGTGTGTCTTGCCACCCACCTAGCAGAGTGACCACTATAGTGCTGAGTCCCTGACGAATGTTTATGAAATGTGTGACTGCACAGATGCAGAAGGTAATGTAAATGGTATTTTGTCCTCTCCTCCTTTCTTGTAAGGTTTCCCCCCAAACACTTTTTTCCTCTTCCTATTTGTAAGAAAAGTGATGGAACATGAAGAAAAGACAAAAGGGACAAGAAGGGAGATAGAAAATTCTTCTTTTAAAAGAATTCAATATTAGTGATATGAATAAAAGTCTGAAGTAAATAGAACATTTTTTAAAGGGTTTATGCAATTCACTTGTAAAGCTTGAGCTGATGCACATTCTCAGCATAATTAAGAGCAAAGAATACAATTTTTGGTTCCTAAAAAATATAGTAAAAAATGATACCATGGGGGATGGAGAAATACAGAAGCTGTGTTCCGTATCTCACAAGCAAAAAACCAAGGAAGGAAAACACCTTCTTCTGAAAAAGTGGCTTACCTGCATAGTATAATTCACTCCAGCTTTTATTAGGTGCTTGATTAATTCTGCTGAATGCTGGAAATGAACTTTTGCTGCAAGAAATTAAATTGTATTTAAAGGAAATACATTTTTTAGGATCAGAAAGTTTTCCTACCATTTTTTTTTCAAGGAGATTAAGCATTTACTTTACATACATTGCACATTTAAAAGACTGATATCTCGCTTTAACTAGAAAGCCTGTAAATATAATTTCAAGCTTCACCCTGTTAGAAAACAAACCAAAATAGGAGATAAGACTAAGGCCTACTTACTGCATGGGATGGCAGTTAGATCTACTTTACTGAATATCATTTGTTATTTTTAATTGCTCATATATTTTATACCTTATAAAAATTTTAGCATGGTAAATGTCTTATCTGGGTTTTAATGCAGCAAACCAGCTTTTTGTTCCTTCTGGAGGATTACAAAGACCTCGTATTAGTTAGATACTGGCATTCTGCTTTATTATTTTAAATTAGAAAGGAATACCCCATGTTGAGAAAATATCATGAAAATCTCATTATACAAGGGCTATTTAATGTAGGTTATACTGGTTATTTCTGTTTTCTTCTCTCTTCCTTCTGCCTGAAGCTGAGGTCCAAACCTCTGAAATAAGCAGCAGAAGAGCCCTGGTAGCTAGGAAGTTGTGGATCAGTCACTCAAATGTGCAGCAGTTTGCTTACATGCTGTCTGGGCTGCTCATTTCTGGACTCTGTAGATCTTCAAATTTCTGTAAATAACTTTTAACCTAATATTTTGCAAGTGTCTTTGCAAACCTCGGGCACCTTTATTCATAGTTTAAGCTCCTTTGATGGTCTAATTCTATGATGCTGAATAATCACACCACGCAAAAGAGGATAAAAAATTCCAAATAAATCATTTGAATCTTTTTAAAAAGATATTCAAGATCATCTTTCTGTGATACTTAACAGGAAAATTACTGTGTCATCTCTAAAAAAGTAGAAATTGTTCTGTTAATGTAGGCTACTGGAAATGCTAATTAATAAGGGCAATGGCAGAGGTAACATGATCCTTTATTTCTCTGTGTGGATTCGGCTGAAAAGATAAATGTACAAATGGATTTTCCAGCTGCATTTTTTTTCTGCTTAGTTTCTAGAGAAAAGCCTGTTGACATTTGCCATTTGTCTCCTTCCTATAACTGAATGAGGACATTAAAGGTCTGATTGGCTGAGTGAACTGATTTGCTGGTAATTTTCACAGATACTATTAATAATGGCAGTGTTACAGTGTCATTGACTGATCACTTAGAATCCACCAGGCCCATATGGGCTGTGTGGTGTGAGCACGTCTGTGTGCACATGCGTGTGGGTGTTCGTATGCAAGCACAGGTGCATTTCCTCTGAAGTGACCGGGGTGAACCCTGCTTGCATTTTATCAGGTGGGTGAAACACCAGGCCGTGACTGAGTGAGTTAGATAAGAACAACATAATTTACCTTTAGAGCTACAACATATTAACAGAAAGATCTGAAATAGCATTAATATATTATTCCAGGGTGATGGCTATACATAAAATAATTTAACCTTGAATATAATTTATTCACATGACTGAGGCTTCAGAGCTCAGTGAATAAAAACCTCAATACCTGCATTCAAATCCCCTTTCTACTAATCAATCACGTGTATGCTTTCAGGCAAGTTATATCATTTCCTAATATTTAGTTCTCCAATCTGTTAAACAAGAAAAGTAATATTTTTTGTGAAGAACAAATAAGATAATATCAAATGTTTTTAGCACATTTTCTGACAGGTAATCAGTACTTAATAATTGCTATTTATTATGGTTAATACTGACATACACACACACACACACACACACA